CAATAATAAATGTATATGCACCTAATGAGAGACCAGCAAAGTACTTAAAACAACTACTCATAGATTTGGAAAAAGACATCAACAGCAACACAATACTAGTGGGAGACTTCAACACTGCTTTGTCACCTCTTGATAGATCAAGCAGACTCAAGCTTAGCAAGGACATACTTCATCTGAGGGAAACAATGGAAGAAAGGGACTTAGTAGATATATACAGGACACTTCATCCACAAAAAGCTGAATACACATTCTTCTCAAGCGTACATGGAACATTCTCCAAGATAGACCACATGCTGAGCCACAAAACTTGCCTCCAAAAAATTAAGAAGATAGAGATTGTATCGACAATCTTCTCAGACCATAATGCGCTGAAATTAGAAGTAAATCACATAAAAAAAAACAGAAAACTAAATCAAACACCTGGAAATTAAACAGTGCTCTACTGAACAACGAGTGGCTTAGACAGGAAATCAAAGAGGAAATCAAAAGATTCCTAGAAAAGAATGAAATGAAAATGAGGACACGAGTTACCAAAACTTATGGGACACAGCAAAAGCTGTGTTAAGAGGAAAGTTTATAGCTCTACAAGCATTCCTCAGGAAGGAGGAGCGAGCACAAATAAGTAACCTAACCTCACAGCTTAAGAGCTTGGAGAAGGACCAAAAAAAGGAGCACAACCCGAACAGAGAAAGGAAATAATAAAACTCAGAGCAGAGATTAACGAGATGGAAACGCAAAAAACAATCCGAAAGATCAATGAAACCAAGAGCTGGTTCTTCGAGAAAATTAACAAGATTGATAAGCCTCTAGCAAAACTCACAAAGAAAGGGAGAGAGAAAACCCTAATAAACCGAATCAGAAATGAAAAGGGGGTCATTACAACAGAAACTACAGAAATTCAAAGGATCCTCAGGGAGTACTTTGAGAAACTGTATGCCACGGAACATCAAAACCTCGAGGAAATGGATAAATTCCTAGACTCCTACAGACTCCCAAGGCTGAACCAAGAAGACCTGGAATACCTGAACAGACCTATCACCATCAAGGAAATTGAAATGGTAATAAAACGTCTCCCCAAGCACAAAAGTCCTGGTCCGGATGGATTCACCAGTGAATTCTTCCAAATCTTTAAAGAGGACTTACTCCCAATCCTCTTTAAGCTTTTCCACGAAATTGAAATATCAAAAACACTTCCAAACAGTTTCTACGAAGCAAATATCACACTGATACCAAAAGCAGACAGAGATACCACAAAGAAAGAGAATTACAGACCGATATCCCTGATGAACACAGATGCAAATATCCTCAACAAACTACTAGCAAATAGAATCCAACTACTCATCAAAAAGATCATACACCATGACCAAGTAGGATTCATCCCAGGGATGCAAGGATGGTTCAACATTCGGAAATCAATCAACATAATCCATCATATCAACAAAAGAAAAGATAAAAAGCATATGATTATATCAATAGATGCAGAGAAAGCATTTGACAAGATCCAGCACCCCTTTATGACGAAAACCCTAGCCAAAATGGGTATAGAGGGGACCTTCCTCAACATAATTAAAGCCATCTACCACAAGCCTACAGCAAGCATCATCCTCAATGGGGAAAAACTGAGAGCCTTCCCCCTAAGATCAGGGACTAGACAAGGATGCCCACTCTCTCCACTGCTGTTCAATATAGTACTGGAAGTACTTGCAATAGCGATTAGGCAAGAAAAAGATATTAAGGGTATTCAGGTAGGAAAGGAAGAAATCAAGCTCTCACTATTCGCAGATGATATGATACTATACTTAGAGAACCCAATAACCTCCACCAAAAAACTTCTAGAAACAATAGACTCGTATAGTAAAGTTGCAGGCTATAAAATCAATACCCAAAAGTCCATGGCATTCCTATATGCAAACAGTGAGAGAGAAGAAAGCAACATGAAAAAAAAATCCCATTCACAATTGTGCCCCAGAAAATCAAGTACCTAGGAATCAGCTTAACTAAGGAAGTAAAGTACCTGTACAAAGAAAACTACAAAACGCTACTTCAGGAAATAAAAGAGGACATGAGGAAGTGGAAAGATATCCCCTGCTCATGGGTCGGGAGACTTAACATTGTCAAAATGGCAATACTACCGAAAGCATTGTATAAATTCAATGCAATCCCTATAAGGATACCCACGACATTCTTCAAAGAAATGGAGCAAACACTCCTGAAATTTATATGGAACAATAAGCCCCCACGAATAGCTAAAGCAATTCTTGGGAAAAAGAAAATGGGAGGAATCAACCTCCCAAACTTCAAACTGTACTACAAAGCAGTAATAATTAAAACAGCATGGTACTGGAACAAAGGCAGAACTGCAGACCAATGGAACAGGGTTGAATACACTGACATCTCCCCTCAATCATATGATCATCTAATCTTTGATAAAGGTGCAAGTAATGTGAAGTGGAGTAAGGAAAGCCTCTTTAACAAATTGTGCTGGCATCACTGGATGGCTACATGCAAAAAAATGGGCTCAGAACTCTGCCTAACACCATGTACAAAAGTAAGATCAAAATGGATTAAAGACCTCAACATCAGACCAGAAACCATAAGGTACATTGAAGATAAAGTTGGCAAAACCCTCCATGACATTGAAGCTAATGGTATCTTCAAAGATGCCACGCCACTGGCCGAGCAAGTGAAAACAGAGATAGATAAATGGGACTATCTTAAACTAAGAAGCTTCTGCACCTCCAAAGAAACAGTGACCAAAATACAAAGACAGTCTACAGAATGGGAAAGGATATTCGCCGAATACACATCTGACAATGGGTTGATATCCAGGATATACAAAATACTGGTTAAACTGCACAAGAAGAAAACATCCAACCCCATCCAAAAATGGGGCAATGAAATGAACAGAAACTTTCTCAAAGAAGAAATCCGAATGGCAAAAAAGCACATGAGAAAATGCTCTACATCATTAATCATCAGGGAGATGCAGATCAAAACCACAATGAGATACCATCTCACACCTCAGAGACTGGCCCACATTCAAAAGAACAAAAGCAACCGATGCTGGCGTGGATGTGGCGAGAAAGGGACACTCCTTCACTGTTGGTGGGAATGTCGACTAGTTCAGCCCTTTTGGAAAACAGTATGGACGTTTCTCAAAAAATTAGAAATTGAGCTCCCATTTGACACAGCGATACCACTCCTGGGAATATACCCCAGAGAGGCAGAACTGTGTAGTCGAAGTGACATCTGCACTTGTTTGTTCATTGCAGCACTCTTTACAATAGCCAGAAACTGGAAGAAACCTGAGTGCCCAAGAACAGATGACTGGTTAAAGAAACTCTGGTACATCTACACAATGGAGTACTATGTAGCACTTAGAAAAGATGAAGTCATGAAATTTACATACAAGTGGTACAATACGGAAAGTATCATGCTAAGCGAAATGAGTCAGAAAGAGAGGGATAGACATAGAAAAAATGCATTCATCTGGGGGATATAAAGCAACAAAATATGAGATCAATACCTAAGAATAGCTGAGATCAACACCAGGAGGATTACTCCATAACTTAGAGGCCAGCCGGATATTCTAGGGGAAAGGGCAGTTCAGATAGAGAAGGGAACACCAAATGAAAGGTGTTTGGAGTATCCTCCCAGGAGGGGAAATGCATGTTGAAAGTAGACTATGGACTGAACATGATTGCCACTCAATGCCTCTTTTGCAGACCACAACACCCAAAAGGAGAGAGAGAACAAAGGGGAATGCCCTGCCACAGAGGCAGTGTGGGAGGAGGGGTGGGGGGAAATGGGCACTGGTGGAGGGATGGGTATTTGATCATTGTATGACCGAAACTCAGGCACAAAGATTTGTAAAAAATTATATAAATAAAAAAATGAAAAAAAAATTATTCAGAAAAGTAGCAGCAAGCTTTCAAAGGCAATATGACAGGAAAACAATTAAATTGGTGGTTATGGCATGGGATTGAAGGGTATGGATGATATTTTTCCTCGGGTAGGGAAAGGGTGATATTGGTGATGAATGTGGTGTTGAAATTATGCACGTGTGAAACTATTTTTAATAGCATTGTAAAACAGAGAATCTCAATGAAAGTACATATGTCAACTAATACTAAATCTTCCAGTCAAAGACATAGTTTTCATTCTACATGAAAATTGACACACGTAAAGATTAGTATCAGAACAATAATAAGTCTCTCAGTTAATGTCAAAAGAACAAATAGAATGAAAGGGAAGTGAAGGGGGAAAAGTCATACAATATAAACACACTGTGGCTCCTCGGTGAGTCTAGCTCATCCTGAGATGCCAGGTATCAAGACAGAGCTTGGCCACATGTATCCATGGACAGCTGCTGACAATTTTGTGTCAAGTGTCCCTGCTTGACCTTCAAAGCCCAGTAAATTGTGAGATGGAGTTCATTCCAGGAGAGGGCACCCCTCCAGGAAAGCAACCTTAAATCTATTCTTTCCACCAGCCATCCCAGTGTTCATCAAATTCAGAAGAGGTGCTGCCAAGGGAAGCTGAGTACCTTCCTCAATATCCTTCGGAAATTTTTGGGTATGATACTTCACATGCATTCAGAGGTTGATGTTTATAGATGATGCGCTCTGAAGACAATAACTATCTCGATATAGATATTTGGGAGCTTAAGAATCTGCTCCTAAGATTCAGCTAAGGACAATTGCATCTGTCTGAGGACAGCTGAACTTGTGAGGGTGCTGGCTCATCCTATGGTTCTGTGTTTGGTCTACATCTGAATCAACAGGTGGCGCTGTGGTCTTGTCCCTGATGCTGCTGGGGGAACTCAACTCTGAAACTGTCACCTGGGGCTCTGCACTCCCTGGGGACTAAAAACTGTGACCTCTAGCACCCTGGAGGCTGCCCCAGCTCCACCTCCAACTCAACTCTCACCAAATGTAGAGCGGTTGATTTGCATAAAGCACTCTTTTCTACTCATCAGGGGACGAAAATAAGAGGGACTTTGTGCAATTGTGTCGCTTGTGAGCTCCAGATCAGAGTCCAGGGTGTCTCTGCAATGGCCTGGTCTCCTGTCCTCCTCCTCTTCCTGCTAGCTCAGTACCCAGGTGACTGGCTGTGGGAACTTGGGGAAGTGACCATGATCAGGGTTGAGGGGCTGTGGTGGTGGAAAAATGCTCTGTTTTGAGAACAGGCTGTGGCTAGTAACTGTCTCACCGCTGTGTCTCCATTGCTCCATTCCAGGCTCCTGGGCGCAGACTGGACTGACACAGGAGGTATCAGTGTCAGGGTCTGTAGGACAGACCGTCACCCTCTCCTGCACTGGAACCAGCACCAATGTTGGTACCTATAATGCAGGGTGGTACCAGCAGATTCCTGGTGCTCCCCCCAAAACTGTGATGCTTGGAAGTACTCGACCTACAGGGATCCCAGCTCGGTTCACTGGTTCAAAATCTGGAAACAAGGCGACTCTGACCATCTCAGGCGTGCAGCCTGAGGATGAGGCTGATTATTACTGTTCTACATGGGACTACAGTATCAACAATGACACATTGCTTCAGACTCAAGGGGAAATGAGACAAAAACCCAACCCTGGTCTAAGTGACCATCCACAACGACCTGTCAAATCAGGAAACAGAGCTGTGGAGACTGTACTGTCTGAGTATAATTCTAAGTACAGACACACTGAACAGGGTCAGCTATGGCTCCTCCTTCTAAGACTGGGTGTGTTTAGTAGCTAATCCTAGATGTAACCTGTTATTAATCATGTATAAACATACAGTGCTCAGTTCAATTGTGTTTCATGAATTGACAGAGTTGCACAGTCAACACCAAAATCTCATTTTATAACATTTTCATCATCCTGGAACAAAAGTTCAAACCCATTAGTAATTCTTCTCATTCTGCCTCAACCTACTCACACCAGGGAAATCACTAATCCACGTTCAAATCTTATGAATTCTCCTGTTCTGGATATTTCACATAGAAGGGTTCTAAAAATTGTGGTACTTTGCACCTCCATTATTTTATTTACATTTTTTTATAAAGTGTTTCTAGGCCCATGCATGATGTGGCATGGGACAGCAGTTTACTCTGCTACTGAGTTCATACTGGTTTACAACCTTTAAAAGTTTCAGGGGTGTGAGGTGTGATTTCACACCTCTTTTCAGTATAGACTGTATCTTCCACCTCACGTTTAGTTTCCATCCATCTCCATCTAATCAGCTACTTCCACCCCATTCCATGTCCTACCGTTTCCCCTTAGCTAAATCCAAACTATCTCAAAATCTAAAGATTTACTCTCCTATTGGTTTCTCTCTCTCTCTCTTTCTCTCTCTCTCTCTCTCTCTTTCTCTCTCTCTCTTTGTTCTATTGCACATTTGGGCAAATTGATAAAGTATTTGTGTTTTCTAGCTGATAAATTGAACTATGCATAGTAGAAATTCAAGCTCTTTTGCTGAATTATATTCTGCCATGTGAACGTAGCACATTTTGTTTATTTGTTCAGCTGAACCTGCTCATTTGGGCTATTTGATAATCTGTTTTCTCTTAAGCAAAGGGCTGCACAAAACATTGGTTTATTTGTTTTTGTTAGTTTAAATGTAAGTTTTCATCCCAAGGCAAGTCATTTAATAATATTCTAGATGATCGGGGTGGTCAGATGTGTATTTCCAGAAGTTTCACTGGCTACTTGTCTACCTTCAATGTATGAGGTTTCCAATTTCTCCTACCAACAATTGCTAATATCTCTCACTGTTGTTTCACTCCCCCACACCCAGTTTGGAAGAGCTGTCTCCCACACAGCAATAGCCTGCATTATAAAAGAAACTTTGCTTCTATTTATGTGATTGGATCTACGGCAGCCTAGTGGAGAACAGTTTCACACTGTGGTCTGCCACACTGGGGTCAGCACCATTTTCCAGCAGAACAGTTGCACAAGCCTCTTGCAGGCATTGTGGCTTGTGTCAGTACCAACCCACAAAGAATGATCCCAGAGGCTAACTTTCTCACTCAAACATCTGACATTGTATTGATTGATTGCTTATTTATTCATTGGCTATGACCCAAATACAAACCAATCAAAAAATAAGTAATCAATCAATAAAATGTCAGTTGTTTGAGTTTGTATCTGGATTGATACTGACACAAGCCGCAATGCCTGCAAGAGGCTTGTGCAAATGTTCTGCCGGAAAACGGTGCTGACCCCAGTGTTGCAGACAGCAGTATGAGATTATTCTCCACTAAGATACCCTAGATTCAATCACATAAATAAAAGCAAAATTTCTTTCTTATAATGAAGGCTACTGCCAGAGATGCTTAGGGCCTACTCCTGGTTCTGCATTCAGGAATTGTTACTGGCAGTACTTAGTGGACCTATGGAATGTGTCAGCTGGGTGCAAGGTAAATACCCTACCCACTATGATAACTCTCTGACCTCCAACAAATATCTGACATTTTAGGGATACTTACTACATCTTACAACTAGGATTAACATCATTTAAACATATATATCATTGATATTTAAAAAAATATTCATCAAATTCTTCATAGAACCACATTTTATTTAAAATAGAGAAAACGCAGCAGGTCAATCTGTACCTGTGAGTATATCAGCAGCCTCATGGCTCCTTTAGACTTCTAGATACCCCAAAATTGCTGCTCTGCCTTTGGCCAGACCCCAAAACCTTGGGGCAAAATTTACCAAGAAAGTAAACAGCCAAAAGTTAGGTATGTGGGAGACACACCCACAAACCACCTCCGGCTCAGCTATATAATTGGAGAAATGGCCTCTCTGGTTCCTGATCGAACTTCTTAATGGCCATAATCCCAGAGACTCAGAAACAAATCTCAAAACCCAAAGGTGCTGAGCCACCCCAGGTGGGAATAGGTTTCATGCCTTGGCCTGGTTCCCCTTGGTGGCCCTGTGGCCGTCATCCTCCAGAGACCACTGGACAGTCAGGTTTGGGCCCTCAATGATGAGACACGTGGGGCCTCACAAGATGGGGTTGGAGCCGGCCCTTTCCTCCCCGTGCAAATGAGACTTCGAGTCGCTGCCCACTAACTGCCTCTCTGGCTCCTGATCAAGCTGCTTAACAGCCATGATCCCAGGGACTCAGAAACAAATCTCAAATCCCAGCAGCTTTTAGCAGAAATGCGTCTGGACTGCGCAGTAGGTTACTGTTGCCGGACCACCCCAGGGGGGAAAGGGTGTTGTCCCTCTACCTGCTCCCCCTTGGTGGCCTGGTGGCCACCATATTCCAGAGGCCATTGTACAGTGAGGTTTGGGCCCGCAGTGACGAGACACGCGGGGCCTCACAGGATGGGGGTGGTGCCGGCTTTTCCTCCCCGTGCCAATGAGACCCTGAGTCGCTGCCCATGAATGGCCTCTCGGGCTCCTGATCAAGCAGCTTAATGGACATGATCCCAGAGACTGAGAAACAAATCTCGAAACCCAGCAGCTTTTGGCAGAAATGCGTGTGGGCCACACAGTAGATTACTGATGCTGGGCCACCCCAGGGGGCAAAGGGTGTTGTCCCTCCACCTGCTCCCCCAAGGTGGCCCGGTGGCTACCATCTTCCAGAGACCATTGGACTTAGGTTTGGGCCTGCAGTGACGAGACACGCGGGGCCTCACGGGATCAGGGTGCAGCCGGCCCTTTCCTCCCCACCCCAACGAGACCATGAGTCACCTCCCACGAATGGCCTCTTTGGCTCCTGATCAAGCTGCTTAATGGCCATGATCCCAGAGACTCAGGAACGAATCTCGGAACCTAGCAGGTTTGGGCAGAAAATTTCTTCAGATTTAATTGTTAAAATTTCGGAATTTCAAAATTGCGTAGCCACTACTGCAACCGTGCAACATCATATGTTATTCATGACCAGCAATAGAAAACAAACTGTCTACTATTGCCTTTTTGGCAGATCTGAGTGTTGGGGTAAAATTCCAAATAATAGTGATGAGTGTGGTGTCGAAATGTTGAATGTGATCAAAGTGTAGAGAGAGTGATTTGGAAATCATCTGCCCCACAGGTAGGGAGAGGGGGAGGGATGGGGGTATACTGGAGTTTTTCGTGGTGGGCACTGGTGAAGGTACGGGTATTTCATTGTGTGGCCGAGACTTAAACCCAAAAGCTTTGTAACTGCTCTCACGGTGATTCAATAAATAAAATTATAGAAAATGGGAAAGAAAAAGAAAAGTAAGGTGGAGTTAATGCAAAATTCAATCAGCCTAATCAGTGTCTGAATGAATAGCAGTACTCCTACATAATAAAAAAAAAAATCACTGTCACTGTCACTGTCCTCCCGTTGTTCATCGATTTGCTTGAGCAGGCCCAGTAATATCTCCATTGGAGACTTTGTTGTTACTGTGTTTGGCATCTCGAATATGTCACGGGTAGCTTGCCAAGCTCTGCCATACGGGCGAGATAATCTTGGTAGCTTGACGGGCTCTCCGAGAGGGATGGAGGAATCGAACTCGGGTCGGCCATGTTGGCTGCGTGCAAGGCAAATGCCCTACCGCTGTGCTATCGCTCCAGGCCCAATAAAAACAAATAAAATAAAATAGAGAAAACAACAAGTCTTCAGTTCTAGTAATATCACTGTATCATTGTCATCCTGTTGTTTGTCAATTTACTTGAGTGGGCGCCAGTAACATCTCTATTCCTCCGAGCCCTGAGATTTTAGCAGCCTCTTCTTATTTGTCTTTTCCCAACGATTGGAGGCTCTTTCAGGGTCAGAGGAATGAGACTTGCTGTCTTTACTGGTTTTGGCATGTCAAATACACCATGGGGAGCTTGCCAGTCTCTGCCCGTGCGGGCGGGATACTCTCGGGAGCTTGCTGGGCTCTCTGAGAGGCATATATTTATATATTTCTCTCTATAATTTGTTGCCAACTGTCTGAACCCCATCAAATATGGTGTGGTAATTATGGAAAATGAGTAGGAAATGTCCTATAATGAGAGGCGGCCATGCGGTCTGGAAAGCGGCCTGGAGCATGGCGGTGGTTGGCTGCCAGGGCTGGGTCCCTTGGGGCCGAGGGGACTCCGCGCCCAGCTGTTTTCACACAGGGTGCCCCAGAGTGGGGCAAATGAGAGTCCTCTCATATGAGAGGTTATGGTTTAAAACTTACTAGGAATGTTAGAAAAGACAATCTCTTAGAAATGATACACTTAGAAAGTTATGGTTGAATATCTGGAAGTTATATGTGGATATCTGGATGTTACACCCATAGTCAGGGAAATAAATAAAACCAATCCCATTTTTAGCTATAAATTGGGTGGAACTTACTCTATGAATATTTATGCAGACAGAGAGAGAGAGAGAGAGAGAGAGAGAGAGAGAGAGACCCAAAAACATTTGTTAAGAGAATGAACTGGTAGTTTATAGAAATTCTTTTGTCAAGTTTAATTTAATTTTATTTTTATAAAGTAGTTCACAATACACCTTCTCACCACCATATTTCAGATATTTCCATCCTAAACCCCAATCCCTGCCCCAAAGCAGAATTGAAATAATTTATTTTGTTTTGTTTGTTATAAAAAAAAAGCAAACAAAACCGCTGAAAATGCTCTACAACACTTTCCTTAGAGAGTGTGAAGACTGTTCTATTTCAGCCAGGGGCCATTAACCCTTCTATAAGATATTACTAATATATTGTTAAGGGTTGAGCCTTGTGTGTGTATATATACACTTATA